AATGAGCATGCCGTGAAGCAAGACATGTCCAGAGATGCAAACTCGTCTTACCTTGCCCCACAGTCCTGAGACCGGTGCACACGGGCAGCCTCCACGAGCACTTCCTCACGAATTAGGCTCGTTCGAAGGATTATTGGAAATCTGTCAGCTTCGAAGAAAGCTACAATGCTAACCAACAATACAAATTGGCAACCAAAACACGTATCCAGAAAAACATTCTAGCTACTGTAATGCCCCAAAATTTGGAGAAGAAAACATATATATATATGAATAATCGACAAAAGCCAAAACAAGATCCGGGGCTGAAGGACAATTTTGTGTTGTATCAGATGCCTCCATGGGGACATCAAGTCACACCTCTCAACTTAATTCCTTGCACCGCGTAAGCATATGGGCAATTCCCTAAACGCTCCAAACTTTGCAGGAACCTCAAAAGGATCATGATTTAGAAAGCTGGCGATGCCAAACCGAAGGTCCTCAGCCAAATAAACCTCAGTCCCAAATGCCCCCGAGGGGCCGTGCGCACGTCTGCTGGTTTCGACAGGGCCAGGATCCCAGAACACTCGTGCAAGACCTGCACGGCGATGTGTTTGCCTGTCAAGGCGAGCTGCGGGAAGGGATGTAGCATTTATAGCCGCACCGGTGTATATCCTGGGCTTCATAGGCTTCTTGCAGCGGAGGGAGGCTCTCCGAAGTAGGGCATAGCAGGGCCTTGCAGGGGAACCTGATGAACTACCTCTTTAGTTTCAATGGAGTCAGGAGCCGTGGCCTGGGTGCATGCAGGAAGCCGTCTCTCCAAAGGCTCCTTTGTGTGCCCAGCCCCTGCAACCCCTATTGGGGCTCGCACCTGCTTCCAATGAGAGCTCGGCAGTGTCCTGGAGAGCTGAAGCCCAAAAGCAACCCTGCGAGATACTGCTAGTCTGAGAATGTCCCGAGCCGTTAAACTTCAATGCCAAAAGCTGTGAGCTATGAGGCGGCTGCATTGGGCCCGACAAAACCTTCGCAGTACTGTCCGGTAAACAGGATACCCTCAACTCCGAATACGAATCTATTTCAGCTGAAACAGAGCACCCTGGCTAGGTATGCTCAGGGTCCAGCATTCATGTCGATTTGAGACCTGAACTGAAGGCAGTCTTTCGGAGGTCCAGTTTGCTGCCCAGTTACAATGTTGTTTCCATCCTTGGCGGAATGCTCCCAGAGCGGCCGTGTCGACTTGATGAAGTCCACCTCGCTAGGTCAAGACATTGTCAAAAAATCTCGCCTCACTGTGCAACCTGTGTTGGCACGAAGACTTCTTGCCCCAGCTGTGGCCCTGAGAGTGGCAGCCCCCGAAAAACACCACTCTTTGTGGACGCATGATGGTAGCTGGAAAAACACTGTTGGCCATGGAGCAGCAAATTTTCACGAGCGCGAAGCTTGGGTTTGCGAGTCATTCACATCAGAAATATGATAAATATGAGCAGGAACATCCGAACAAGCGTGCCCTCTGAATCCTCGCCAAGCACGAGGAAAACAAAACACAAAAAACGGCTTGGCCCGCCGACCTCCCCCAAAAAAACATCAAATACAAAGGAGAGTTAGCCCAAAAATCAGCTTTGGAGACGGCCCAGTGGCAGCTTTTGCTTGACCACAGGAGCTCCGGATGGCACCGGCAGCTGTGCCTGCCAGAAGGCCTCCAAAACAAACCACAATTGCTGTGAGGAACAAGAGCACATGCACTCGCAGGCATAAAGGAATGCATGGATTCCTGAAATAGACTCAAAACAGCGTCCTACATGCACACCTCGGGAAGAGAACTGAGGGTACCACAGCTCTCACAGGAACTTTCTGAATCGCAACCTGTGGCAGCCACGCGGAAGCTTGGAAGGGCCACCTGTGCACTTGACTCACTTGACAGAACACAATCCCGCTGGGCTTGCAGTTGTTGGGCTCACTGGCTTGCTTTTTCTTATACGAACCTGAAGCAGGCGCGCCAAACGGTTTGCAGCTGCACAGTGCTCATGCTCCTCCCGTCACCGTCAACCTAACCAGCATGAAACCTTCGACACCCAGTGTCCTCACTGCAGAGCAATTTCTGAGAAGGCTGCCAGCAGCGCGACAGCCGCTTCCCAGGCATCTGCCTGGAGCAATTGGTGGCGGCTGGTGACGTACGGGCCGTTGAGATGAGGGCATTCCAGGGGGCCAGCGATTCGACATGTCGCTCAGTGGCTTGCCTACACAGCCCCTGCATCAACCCCAAAATTGCCTTGGAATCTGAACCCTCACCAACATCCTCACCGTCTCCACCGCGATTCACGAGCTTGGAGATGTACTGAAATCTTCCCCTTCAATCGGTGCATTACCGTCATCCCAGGTCTTCTCGATCTGGATGGGCAGTATATGGTGGGGCTCTCGGGTCTACTCCAGTGGGACATCCTCGCTCTCCTCGGCCGGTCGATATCGCCACGGGAACCATCATATTGGCGGGCAGCTTCTAATCGACCCGCCAAAAAAAAGTCTTGAAGGTTGGAGGGACCAAATTGAAACTGTCACTCTGCGTACGTCGACACCGCACCACGCAGCTCCATGCCAACACAGCATCCAGCCCTATCTTTGGTAATCTTGAACCCTTGAAGGACAGGAGCTATTTCTTCTCTGGGGACCCTGTTGCTGTGGAGATTTGTGGAACCTTTTTTTCTTCTCAAGAAACGAAACTGTCAGGACTTTGGGTCGTTTCAGGTTTTGGCTTGGAACAGAAGCGACCCGAAGTTGCTCACATGTTTGTTGGGAATTGAGGTGGACATAGAATGCAGACTCACGTTCAATAGAAAGAGGTTGCAATCGTTTGCGGCTCGCTTTGCATTGTGGGGCCTTGGCTGCTGCACCCAGCACCGCCGAAGCGGCGAAGCCGGCGCTGCCCACCGAGGCCCGCGCCCTTCCGACGGTGCAAAAGACTTCGGGAATTCCCGGTTTCGGGACTCTGGTGCTGATGGTGCGCTCCAACATAGCTTGGTGAGGGTTTGGGATTCTCAGTCAAGGCTTTTGATGGTTTGGGCCGACTGAGGACTGGGGCGAGGAGTGGCCAATGCTGAGTTACCAATTGATTTTTTTACATGAACTTCTGATTCAATGGCTTGAATGCAACAACATCAAGGAAGCCCCGAAGCCAACGCAATGTTAGCCACGTTTGTGGTTGCAATCGCAGCACTAATGCTACACAACCCCCCCCCCCCCAGAATTTGCCCATTTTGCCCAGACTATGCTACAGATAGAGGCCAAATACCCAAAATGTCCCAAAATGCTCTGGACACATTGGGTCTCATCTTGTCGCCAGGAAGCAGAGTACGTCCGAGCAGGGCCAAGGCCATCTGCCACTCACCAGCCTGGCACAATCCCAACTCAGAAGTCGATATAGCTCAGATTACCAATCCGCACCCTTTGCTGCTCCACCTCTAGATACAAAATGTGCAACTCCGCCGCGGCTCTGCGAAGCATCTGGAACAAGCAGACCAGAATCTGGTCTATCCCTTACACCGCGTCCCCCCCCTTTTCTGGGAGAGCCTCCGATAAGACTTGCGCCCCCTTCCCCACGCGTTTGGGCCGTTTGGGGTCTGATTCTGTATCGATGTTTTCTTCAGGCTCGTCTTCCTCGTCAGAGTCTTAAGGGGATCTCTGGCTGGATCATGCTGCTGCCTGCAAGCCCCATACCAGCTCAACCCTCACCTAGCACCACTCCAAGCTGTGGCCGTACCGCGGATGAGTATATGCGTACATAGACATATACACGCGCACCCCTAGCGAAGGTAGTTCAGCACGAGAGTTGGTTCGAATGGTCCAGCACACACACACGTACACGCACACGCACGCGCACGCGCACGCGCACGCGCACGCGCACGCACACGCACACGCGCACGCGCACGCACACGCACACGCGCGCGCGCGCGCGCACACACACACACACACACACAAAAAAAAAAAAAAAAAAAAACACATTGAGACTTCTGGAGAGGCTTCAATGGCTTCAATGAAGCCCTTCAGTTTGCCTTCTCGCAAGCACTCATAGCAGCGCAGAGTGCGATGGCGTCGGGATCAAAGCTCCTGCTCTGCAAGAACTGATGTTCTCTTTGTGCATTGCATACACGCGTTCGGGTGTTACGAGGTCCCACATGCAAAACAAATCGTCTGTATGGTTTTGGAATCTTGTGGCTTCGGGACAAGTCAGAGGACGAGATCCAGGCAAAAATGTCCCCGAACGCTTCCTGTAACATGTCAAGTATTTCGAGCCCACGCCTGTCTTCAAGACGATGTAGGAGATGCAGCGCCAGCTGCCACTGAGAGCACTTTTCCTCCAGAAAAGACCCTTTCTCAGCATTGCATCTTCTCATTTCGCTTAGAGGCAAGTTGCGGCTTTGAAGCACAACTGCTTCGGAATAAAGGGGAGATTGTTAAGGACCCTGGCCCAAAGTCCTGCTATCACAATGTGTCAGACCCGGATCTCGTTCACGCGCTTTTAGGAAACATTTCATAGGACACCATGCGTGCAACCATAGATTCCGGATGCTGTCTTGACACACAGAGCTTCGGAGGGCAAGGGGGGAAGGGGGAGGAGGGACACGTAGATGATTATGGATCTAGCATGCATATATACACGTGTGTATATACTTGGAGAACCTCACAAGAAGGCGACTCTGCAACGTGTTTTCAATGCAGGCAGTTTTCCTGCGTTGTCGTCCCTGGTGAGTGCCCCTGACTGTTGAACTCAGTGCAACTAAGAACTTCCGAACTTCCTCGTTAGGCACAAGATGCTGGCAAAACCAGGGCTCAGAATTAAAACTAAGCTTGCCAGAAGCAAGAAGCAAGCACTGTTGCTCGCATTTGCATGGCATGCTTGGCTGGTAGACTCGGAGCCCTTTGGGCCAGGGTCCAGCCAACAAACCAATATGGTTGTCTCGGATGTCGCCTCGGATCACAGATTGCCATTGTGGCCACAATTCTCACCTGACTGCGGAGTGACGCGGAGTTCACGCATCACTGAGCCTGTGCTTCCATGAATGCTTCAGGAACTTCTTGAGACCTCGCTTCCGGGTCTGCTGTTTCTTCTCCTTCTTCGCCTTTTTTTCCTGCAGCTTCTTCGCAACTTTCTCGGGCTTGAAGTCTGCATTGACCTCCGCTTGCAGGATCGACATCTCATCACCGGCAGCGGCCGGAAGCTGGCAAGAAACCTCATTCTGGCACAACTCCGGCACTCCTGTCGGCATGGCTGCAGCATGGTCTGCTACCATCCACATCGCAGCTTGCAGGAGGAGAATTGCACGCACCATTGCGACTTCACGGAGTTCGTAATCTGATGATTTGGGCCACACTGCGGACTGCGCTGCGACATAGGCAAAGGGTCTTCAAGACATCCACTCTAAGCCTGCCCCCCTTTCTTTGAAGCGAATAGCACTTGCAGGGACGATGGAAATCGCCAAGCAATGTTGGAACAGTTCTGGAATTCATAACTTTAATTCAGAAAAGAGTCACATGAGCTGATTGCTGAGCCATGGCTAATCTGCTCCTTAATTGCGCAGGCTTCCGTGATCTTCCGTGCTATGCAGCAATGCCTCCTTGGTGTTCGTTCACCACTAGCCGAGACCTAACAGCAAGCAGCCAAAGGGCAGGCATCACTCGTGCAATCTCCATGGATCCCAAGACCGTGATTGTGGCCCGCCATTGATGGCCCTTCTCACCTGGCATATACTGACCGCTTGATTTGGGGCGAAGAAACAAACAGCGGCTGACGTTCATGGGGGCTAGGGATGCTCGGAAGGTTGCATCCGCAAAATGCCCTGCGAATGTGGCTACCGGGATGTCTGGGTGCCCCACAAGCTGACAGGACCGAGTTGAAAGTGATGAGGTTCGGCACCAGCGCAGCCGTCAGCCTCCCAGGACAAACTGCAAGAACCTCTTAGGAGTTGCGGGAGGCGCCGAATCCCTTTCCCGTCCATTCTCGGCTCACCAGACTGACTACATCGGAAGTGAGCGAAAACACTTTGTGGGCAAGGGCTCTGAAGCGCCCTAAGTGCATCAAGGAGCCTCAAGGGCTACATGCGAAGCTACAATACTATTGTATTCTTTCTGCAGGTTGACTTCCTTGAGGTACCAGTACCTGGCGGCCGGCAGCCAACTACACAAACCAAAGGGTATTGCTTCTGTACTGTGTGTGCATGTCTCAGATGCACGAGACTTTCGAACAACAGAAGTAGTTCCACCCTTCATCACCCTAGTCACCAGTCCTTTGGCTAGGGCCCCGGCAGATGGAGCAGTGCTGCCACTGCTTCATTCCATCGTCTGCCCCAAGCAAAAGCATCTAAAGCTGCGCTGTGGCTCACCAAGGGCCTTGACATGGGGCCAGTTCTTGTGCAAGAAGAGACCATCCCCCCCCCCCCCCCCCACCTACCTCCCGACGGCAAAAGACTACAGATAAAGAAGAATGATCACAAAGTGGAGGCTTCGAGGTTGAAGACTGTGGACCAGTGGAGAGCCGTCTGCAGACTAGTGAAGTGGTCAATACCCGGAAAAAACAGGTTCAGGCCTCAGATGAACCTGCAATGCAACGGTTCTACCTAGGGAAGGGGCATCATTGTGGTGCCGTGATGATGACGCAACTACCAAAACCTTGCAAGATGCAGGAAATGAGCCGAGCCTGTGTACCAGCCAAGCAGTGCCATAGCTGGCAGACGACGCACAAAGCCCCTGCCCCCTCGAACCGGAAATGAGCATCCTCTACCCGAAGATCTTTGCCTGAAAGACTTGTCTTGAAGGTTCCTTTGCCAAGCGTCGGATCGATCCGTGCTCCAGGCATTCCTGATGCTGGTTCACTTATGGGGCAAGCCGAGGCCAACGATAGCTAGCCCAAGTGCGCGCCCTAACCCCAAAACCCCTACATCCCTAAACCCTTAAACCGCAAACCCTGAAACCCTAAACGCCTCAACCCCTGGACCCGAAATCCTTCACCCCCTAAACCCCCAATCAAGCCCCCAAACCAAAAGACCCCTGAACCCCTAAACCTCTAAACTCCTAAACCCTAAGCCTCCAAACCCCTGAACCGCCGTAAACCCCTAAACCACTACACTCCTGAACCTAAGCCCTCAAACCCTTCAAGCTCTAAATCCCCAAACCCCCAAGTCCCTAAACCCCCCGTTGAGACGTGCATCACACAAATGCCACTGCACGCAGCCCCTCGCCACAACACACTGTTGCTGCTGGTGCTGCTCTTCTTGTTGTTGCTTGTGGCCGAGCCCATGGGTTTCATCACTATTTACCCCGCCTGAGGGGCCTCTCTCGGAAGTAAGGATTCCAAAGCTGACCCCCCCTCCCCTCCCGCCCAAACGTTCACCCCCCGCCATCTTTTTTATAAAATCAATAGCTCGCATCTTTCCGGGCCGTGTCCGACCCTGCTAAAGCAGGACTAAGCTTCGCTGGCTTTCGCGAGATCCCTGCCAAGACTAGAGTCAGGAATGCATTCAATGCATTCTGAAGTCCAAGCACACATGGCGCGAAGTGGAGACCAGCTCTTCTCATGCCACATGTAAGCTTTTGAAGGATGTTGAAGGCAACATAAGGCAACCATGTCCACGCAATGTTCCTTTCTTGAGTGGAGGTGAGCTTTGGCAGCGTGCATTTGCGCCAGATCAATGCCCTGCACTAACGAGGCTTTTCGCAGACAAACCTTCAGCTACAGGGGAGTGCGCGGAGTGGGGTACAGTATCACCTCCGGCCCGAAGGCTTTGGGATCAACCCGCAGAAAAAGCAAAAATAAAAGAAAATAAACAAACAACAATAAAACAGAGAAAGAGACAGACAGAGAAAACAAAATTAGGGAACAAGCCCTGACGAAGAGCGCGGCCACGAAGGAGACGAGCTGCTCAGCACCAGTGGGGGTTCCCACTAAGGAGCTCTAAGCAATGCGCGGGATAGACAGGTGAAGGGAGGGGGGGGTGTGCTGGCACTGCAGGTGCACTTCATGGCCGAGGCACGGGGAACAGAGTTCGAAGTGAAGCAAGCAAGCAAGCAAGCAAGCAAGCAAGCAAGCAAGCAAGCAAGACATATTGTAACAGTCAAGGTGCTGTTGAGAGTACTCACCGCTGCATACCACCGATTTGCCTCCACAGATGTGAGCAACATGCAACAGCCACAGACGAAGGCCAGCCAGCTACGGCAAAGTGACCCAAACCCTTTAATCCCTAAAGGGACCCCATCATGTCAAGTCAAAACCATCTGTCATCCAAGCAAAGGGCGCTGGGATAGATACCGGGATGGCTGGTCCTGAGACGGAGTGAAGTCTCAGACCCTCAACCCAGAAAAAGCTTCATTGAACCCCCAAGCCGACACACCGACTCATGCGAACCTCCAGGCAAACTCCAGCACAAGTGCAAGTCCGAATTGTCCTGGATGATGATCGACGCGAAATGTTACGAAACGCAAGCACAACCCTGTGCCTCATCACTGGCAACCGAGAACACCCTGAAGCCTTGACACTCAGCCTGCCCCTGGGCCGCAATAACGGCAGTGTAGGCGAAATCTGAAGGTTCGGAGCGCGTCGCCTGAGCCACCCCGAGGTGGGCTATCAATCTTGGCTTCAGGTTCTCGGAAGAAGTTCTGCCTTTCGAGGAAGTTGCGTGCAGGGTTTGTAGGGATTTGGTGGCGGCCGTTTGGAAATTGCTGGCATGGCTCTGCTTGTTTTCCTTCTTTTCTGGCCAAGCCTTTCTCGAGCCTGGCCATTGTGCCTGAATCTGCGCGAAACCCAAAATGCCACAAAGTGTTGAGGGCGCAGCAAAGTCAACAAACGCTTCGACAGAAAGCTGCCAGCGCCGCGCGAGCGCCGAAATGGTGCCAGAGGTCAAGACTGCCTGCATGCTATATGAGCTGCTGGGTTCCGGGGCTTTTGAGAGAGGATGTAGGGAAGGACGTAGTGCCCCCTTGAAGCCTCAAATATCACATGCTAGAATCAAACCGCGGAACAGGTTTGCAAGTCGCTTTGGGGTTTTCGGGCTCTTGGGTTCAGGTTGAGGCCCAAGGCGCTTTGAGCACCGCTTGCTTAAACAGCTAGACTGCTAGACTCAGACTGTTCATCCTCAACTGTGTCAGGCCTGTCCTTTCAAAATCCCCATGAAGCTTGATCCCTCACGAAATCTTGTTGAGTTTTTAGACGCTGGACCCTTTAAATGTGGAGCCTCACAAGTATGCTGCACCGGCCGAGGCGCATTCACCAGCCCGAGCCGCGAGCTCTCCAAGGCAAGTCCCAGAGCCACCCGCCAGGCGCTACTCTCGGTGCAGCTCTGCAAAGCCTGTCTGGCCCGCGGCGACATTCTGTTGGTTGATATGTTGCTGCATGTTGTGTGTGTTGGTGTGTGCACTGGACTAGTTGTTCCGTGGGCACTAGCAACTTGCAGCGGTTTACTCGGAGGCTCGGCTCCTAGACCTGACTCGGCCTGGATGCAGATTCAGACAGATAAACGATGCTGGGCTTGTAGCCGCTGCCAGTTCAAAGATTTGAAGCGTTGGCTGCGAGATACAACACAATGCTGCGAAGCAAAGTGCGCCTACTGACTTGCAAAGACCGGCATACTGATGCGAATCACCCCCCCCCCCCCCAATGCGCTTCAAGAGACTGAACTAAACATGAACTCGTTGGAGAGCAAACCGAGCGTGTCTGCGCGCTTCAGCATTGCCAGCGACTGCCTGAGATCGGGAAGAAGGCTGAGAATGGCAGCAATCCGAAGGCTGCTCGCATGGCAGGCAAGGCTCAAACCCAAACCCACCTAAACAGGTCCTACAAATTGGTTTGGACCAGGCACGGCCAGCAGTTTCGCTTCTCAAAAGCTCTGCTCGCCGCGCCCCAGTGAATGACATCCAGCCGCAAGCCTTCTGGGAATTTCGAGCTAGCGCTTGATGTTCTCAAGGTTTTCAGCTGATTCTCAAGGTTGCCCGATTCTCACAGCTTCGGAAGACTTAGGCATTTACAGAGCTCTGAGCGTTGAGCGACTCTGGTCTTCAAAACAAGGTTTTGGGCGGCGGTTATCGGTTGAAGGGCCGCATTAGCTCCTACATTGCCACCCACATCCTGAGCCCACGATCAAGAAGCAACCAAAAATCCACGGTGCCACGGCAGCCACGGTGCCACTTCTTTGCATCGCCTCAAGCGCCTGCTGAACCTCACGAGAAGTTGAGGCTCAAGCCCTTGCTCGTTGCCCTACATCCATACAACACATCTCCGAAGAATGTGCTCGGGCAACTCCCCTGCGAAAGCTGCAAAAACAAACCACCTCGTGCGCTCGCCGCTGACGCGCGAGGCGGCTCAGGGCGATGGTTGCCAGACCTATCGTGTCGAGGTGTTGTCACTTTCGGTTTTGAGGTTTCGGGCTGCAAGAGTTCAGGCGCAGGAGGATGGATGCAGTTCTACGCGGGGGAGACTGGACTCGATGTCGTGGACCAGCAATGTGGTCCAACTTCCAACCCCACGGCTTAAACTCGATCTCTGCTGGAGCTGAGGAAGGTTTAGTGTTGTGACTTTGCTGTGTCGTGTGTAAGGGCTTTCTTGTGCGGCAGGCACGAAGTCATTTACAACAAAAAACACTGCGCGCTTAGGGTGCTCGAAACGCCGGTCCAAAGGCCGTCCCTGGATCCACTGGTCCTTTGATGGAAGCCCTGAATAGCAGCCCAAGGGACCTCAACAATTGAGCTCTGAAGTCCTACCGGCCCGACCGGCACCCAAGCGAGCCCAGGCCGCGTGGACTTTTCTTCCAGGACTTCAACTCCATGTCAGAGACAGCAGGCAGGTCTGCCAGGGCGGTCGTTTATGGCTCTAGCGTGGAAGACAATTAAGCCTCACATCTAGTCGCCCTGCCTAGGGGTCTCGGTCTGACAGGATACTTCACGAACTGTACTTGAAGTCGATATGCAATCAACAAATCGATGCCACAACACCGCGCTGCAAGCAAGCCCAGCGATGCTCAATTGATGTTACTTGCGAATGAGCCAGTGCTCTGTTGTGCTTGTGGACGCTGCGGGGTTCAAAGCCTGCGCTATCTAATTTAGCCCTAGCCTATGCTACACTCCTACACTCGATCCAGTTGTCTATCAACCAATTTCTGAACATGTTCCTCAAGAAGATCCTGAACAAGATTTGCGGTTGCTTCTCCGCGTCTGCCTTGTGGGGCGCGAATCAGCTATGAAAGTAAACCAGCTCAGAGTTTACAGGTGGCAAGGTCAAACTTTTCGTAGCCGCGGATGAGGCTGTGCTTTTGCTGCTGCAGGGGTAGGCAGCGTTGTTGCTGTCGCAGCCAATGCGTGCCACCCCTTTGCCCTTGCCTGCCGGTCCTTGCGCGTTTACTTGCTTCCAATTGCCCGCACAGGAGTACAACTCGTTGCTTCACACAGAGCTTTCTCCGAACTTACACAGCGGACCTCGGATCAGCTTCGGGCTCATTGGGGCCATGGCTCCATGTACGGATGTCATGTGATGCTGGCTAGCACTGTGTCATCAGGGTCAAAAAGGTGTCGGCGCTTCGGATTGAGTATACATGTCGTTTGCGACCCTTCAACTGCATGAGCAACAAGGCTCATGTACTAGACCCCTTAACTTGCGAAAGCCAACGAGCGAGTTGAAGGGGGTGTAGGTGTGTACGCAGCCACACACCCCAAAAATCCTGGTTGCATGCCGTCCCATGTATGCTGATAGCTTAAATGCTTTTCCATCGACATGAACATCATGAACAAGGCCCAGTGCCTTAACAAGCTGCGCTGCTAAACCAGCAACTATAACGATGTGTTTAGGGTTCCAACTGGTCTGACTCTATCTGGGTATTTCTCAGAATAGGGGTACCCCTTTTATACCCCAAATAGAATAGAACCTCATTAAAGGGACCCTGAAAACAGGCACCCCTATTTTCGGAAACCCGCAGCTTTCTGTTGATTGCTACACTTTCTAGAATCCTCAACACTTTTCAAGACACTTACCTGAGCCATGCACCGGCCGAACTGACTGCCAGTGGACCTGCAGAAGTACGACTCAGATTTGTCAATGCTCTTCTCTGCAGCAAAACGACTTACGACAGCATGCAGGAACAACGGGGGTCAACGCAAGTCACATAATGCAATCCGGTGACACTGCCAGGCTGTCACATTTGTTCTGTCTCGCGCTCAGCGGCGTGCGGGCCTGCAGGTCTCGAGCTTCTAGGATCTGGGCGGGAGGGTTCTGTGACTTACAGTGATTGTCTGCTTTCAGCGATGCCTGCGGCGACCAGGGTGAAGCAAGTGAAGCAGACCCGATACTGAGCAACCCATGAAATCTGATGAATTCACATGCATCTCCTCGAGCCCGGAAGCTCATTTGTGTAGGTACCATACAGGCCTGACGATCCATCAAAGGCCGCTGCTCCCTCAGGGAGACCTCGCTGCACACGTCCTGTCTGATTTGCGAACGGATGCAAGCATAAAGACATGGAGAAAGCTCGTCAGGAAGTTTCTGCTGCTGAGGGTGTGTTGGCCAGCTTGATGTGTAGCTACTGAACATAGCTTGCTTTCTCGCCGGCATGCTCGAAAGGATTCGTCATGCTGCCGTGTTCGTTCAGGAACGCTATTGGTATTACAGTAGCTTGTCTGGCCCGACCCCGACCCCAACTCTGTTTTGGAATCTGGGTTTGGGTCAAGGAGGAGCCTAGCCATGCCTACAGGGACAGCAGGCGCAGCTGCATGATGAGCAGAGATATGCTTTGTCACCTTGCAGACAAGCCTCAACACTGCACGGACACCAACACTGCAGACCAAGCTGCCTGAACTGCCCACATCCATGGAGACCCGTAATCCCGTACCGGCCCTTACCCGCACATATTTTGCTTGAATGTCGCATCTCACCCTGCTCTTGCGCAGCAGGGGTCGGTGGCGCAGTGCTTCGAAAGATGAGAATAACCGCATGCCTAACGTCTGTCGTCTGTCTTGAGGTGCGCATTCGTAGAGCTACAGGTACTGTAGGCATCTGCAACCAACAGAAAGCTCCAATGTCACAGTACGAACTGACTTCCGAAGCTCTCCGAGCACAGTCGCTGGCATCTTTGGCTCAGACAATGTGCGCCATCCAGGGCCTTGCATGGAGTTTGCATGCAACTGCCTAGCTCGGGTCTCAGAAGTTCGGAAAGGGGGGGGGTTCAAAGGGGGCACCGTGGACACCGATTTGTGAAGTCCCTGACGGTTCCTGGTGATGTCTGGAAGTCTCGTCAGACCCCTGCTGACCAGCAGATACCAGCAGTACGTGAATCGATGCCCCCACTGTTGAGTGAAGCGAGGCGGCTGACATGTTTGTCCAATCTCTGTAGACAATAGAAAGGAAGGAAGCTGAAGCATAAGCCTCCCCAAGCCCCCAAACTAACAGGGCCGGTCCAACAGCAGGCAGATTAAAAGGGGTACCGCTTGCAGAATCAATGACCGAAAAAGTAGTAAACTTACACATTGCGGAAATCGTCGCTATCCCCGCTTTTCTGGGAGCCCTGAACTGTGGCCTGGAGATGTCTCTCAGGATCGTTTCTTCCTGGCATCGCGTGATGAGTCGGAGCCGCAACCACAAGAACGATCCTTTCACGAAACGTCCGGCTGACCAACCATCTCGCGTGCAAGAGACATATCTGCATAACTGCTTTAGGCACGCACGAACTAACTTCAACAGCCGGTGAGCCGAGTGGACACCACCCGACAGACATCGACAAACTACCCTGCACAGTGAGAAGGCGCATCAAAATGAATGAACCTCGAGGAAAAGAATTGGGCGAGCTGCCTATTCCGTACGCTGGCAGCCGATGTCTTGCCAGAAGGACCTGCCATGTGGAGGATAGGGCTCGATAGCGAAAAAAATCAAGGAGCATCAGAGCCTGGGAAAGCTCCAAGTTGTACTCGGACCCTAACCAACCAAGCCACAGGAAAAGTTACACCCCCTTCGTTGACTCTGAGCCTTGCACTTCTGCTGTGACGTTGCTGACAGACTAAGCGCGGTATTCTACGTGTTCTCTTCACGGCAAGGAACGCCTTAGCTTTATCTTCTTGCTGCTGTCTGTTCTTCCCAGGTGCCTCCACTGGGAGCTGAGTCCTGCAACACTGGCCAAGGCAAGGGTGCCGTCCCATAAGGAAACGAAGGAAATCAGCGGAACCTAGCGGGTGCCAGCCTAGAAAGTTCACACGCTTAGCGGCTCGAACCCAATGCCTACGGAGTCTACGATTGCACTCTGCTCAGCTGTCCTCATTGTCGGGGGGCTGGGAGCTTCGCAGGCCTGCTTCAGGGCCCAAGGTTGCATCATCTGCTCCACCCACCTTCTCTTCGGAAACCCGACCACCTGTGTGGGACCAGGGCCCTTCCGCAAATCTCCGAAGCAAGGCCCTTTGCAGCCCCTCACGATTAGAAGCGGAATCTTGGAAACATGCCACCCCGCACTCACATGAAAGACGTAACTTTACCCCCCGCCCTTTTCCCAGCGCCGGCCGAGCATTCCAAGGGCTGCGAGCAAGACGCAGGGGACCAGGATGAGCAAGATCACATCCCAAAGCCGTCCCTGCAGGCCAAACCCAGGAAGACCCTTTGCCCGACCCTTTGCCAGACCCGCAAAGCCCAGAGCAAGCTTTGGGGCTAAGGCCCTGATCGGGCCAGTCACCAGGATCTTGTCGACTTTGGGACTAGGAGAAGAATCCCTTGAACAGCCTAGCTGCTGAAGCTAGTTGGGCAAGATGAGAGGTTAACGAGCTTCTGAATGAGACGGCGGTGACACACTCCTATCCATGGTGCAACAAGGCTGTCTGCTGAGATTGCCACAGAATGAGGCACCCTCTCCACCAACATCTGCAAGTGCCCAACCTGCTCGCAAGCAGCAAGCGAAAGACCGATCTGAATCTAGTCTCAGCATGCGGCGCTGCTTCGGCTATGGTCGGTTTTGAATATTCCGGTTCGGCAATGACTCTGCAGTCCCTTGAACCCCAACCAACTAGCCATTCCTCTGATATGCGTTGTCGAAGTGCGCGCGAGAGCGCTGACCCAAAGCTGCAAGCTTGGCGACCTCACGTACAATACTGAGTTTCCTCTGTGCTCCCTCTGTCACTTTCAGCCGTGACGCCCCATGCTGCGCCATGAGCAAGAAATCTGCAGCCGAAGAAGCGCCACCTTCATTCTACAGGGAGCATATTTTGGGATGTGGCTGACCAAAGCTGCTGTTTTGGCTCTTACGGACATAGGGGTAGGAGGCCCGTGCGTGCAAGCCGCACTGGCCTCGTCGCTTCAAGTTTAGCTACCACTCAAGCCCTCCGGAGGGCAACACGACTGAAAGCCGAACTTACTTGCATCCTCGCTCAGCTGCCTTCCTACAGTCCCACACAGAGAGCTGTGCTCTTGGCCCGCGCGACATGCTTCATCAGATCTGCAATCTCTTGGAAATCAGCTCCCGAAACAAAAGTAGCGTGCATCGAGCAAGTTCCACAGGCCTGCATGGCGGCCGATGCCTGACAGCTTGAGACCCACAGCATGGCAAGAGATCTCTGGGATGCCACAAGCGCGTCGGGATGCGTCGGGATGCATCTCGCGAGGCCACTCGCCCAACACCTCTACAAAGGACCCAACAGTCATAAAGCCCCCGGCGTCCCGCGGCCGCTGCATGTTCCCGAAAGCTGGGAAACACCAGGCGACGAAGGGCCTCCATCTGTTCGCCACTTGAAACCACTTCAGGTTGTCAGGCCTTCCTCGACCAGTAGAGCTTCTAGGATTTCATTGGTTTAGGGCCTCAGAAACGCGACATCTTGTAGCCTAGTGGCCGATCCTGAAGCGATAGCAAAGCCATGGACTTTTCCGGCTTTCATGGTGCAAGGCGCCGGTCCAGAACTCCACAAGCCGCAGCCTCCTGGATGGGCAAGACCTCAAGGTTTGGAACCTTGGCGGACAACAGATCCTTTACTTGGATTTTCGTGCGGCTGAAGTCGTTCATCTACGCTATCTCGTCCTCGTGGCCTGAAATTCCTACACTGCACAGGGCCAGAAACTTTTTCGTGACATGCGCATGCCCTGCCTCCCATCAAAAACCCCCCCCCCTTTCCCCAAAAAAAGGTTTTTGCACTTTCTTCCATCGTGCAGCCTGCCAGCTGCACGATGGCCCCCCTAGCTGAGTCTTCTTGATTCGGTCATGCGCGCAAAGCCAAAGTATGTATCTGTCGAGCACAGCATAGCGCAGCTATCAGCCTCTGCAACCATGAACAACAAGTCTGAGTTCGCAGCGGACAGTCGAAGTCCTGCTCCGCTCTCCACGATTAGCCTTGCAGTCAGTTAGTTGCTTAGTTTCATGACGTTCACATTCTTTGCATGAACCCGCAAACAACGAGCACAGAAGCTGTCGGAGTCAACGAGAGAAAGGTTTGAGGGATCGGGCATTGCGGGGCTTGGGGGGTTTATCAGCTTACGATTGAAAAGATTAGGGTCTGCCAACGGCTTAAAGGCTCGCGACCTAACATTTGGGCTCCACGAGCTCGCTTGGTTTATACCTGAGTGCGAAACATCGCACTAAGCCTTGCTATTGGGCCAGCAGTGAACCTGAACTTCAATGAACCCTTGCCCGGCTCCAAGGTTTCCAGTCAGCAGCGCTGTAGAACAGTAACTGGACATGGCAGATGACTCGCACACAGCGCACCTTGCAGTCACCATCTGGTCGCCAACAAATGGCAGGCCTTGAAAACTTGAACTCAAGGAGGTGTGATGCTTCCAAACAGATTTGGGGACGTCAACATCTTCTGGGCCCCGGGCTTTATGGCATGAAAGGGGAGGGGGACACAGTTTATCAGCGGATTTGGCATGTCGTCGAGTTGGTCTGCGGCTCCACCCTGCGGCGTCGACCGACCCTGCCCCTGGACAAAGGCAAACAGCAACCGACGATCGACAACTGAGGGATGCCGGTAAGTGCCGGTGAGAGCGAGAGAAAAATGAAAACTGAGCGAGAGAGTGAGAGAGAGAGAGAGAGAAAGAAAAGAGCGAGATAAGAGAGAGAGAGAGAGAGAAAGAGAGCGACGCCAAAGAAAAGGTTGGTCCCGAACCCGTGTGTCACTGCGTTTTGCAATCACAGTGTCAGCCTGGCAACTGCCCGCACACCGCCCGGAACCAGACACAAGAGCCACAAGACAGAGCGCGAAGCTGGTTGTGTCATTGCGAACAGGCACGGCCCCTTACACTATTCCAGGCCACAGCCAGCGCCATAGAAACAGCAAAAATCGCTCTGAGAAGAAAAGCTCCGATTTTTGCAGCCGTGCGAGGTTTCATCATGTCGGTTACATGCATCAGGATACACTTTGAAAGGACGGATTCCAGCCTTTACCCGCAGCGATGGCAAGACAGGACTGGTACACTTGAAAAATTCGCGAGCCTTCTCTTGAGCCTGCTCTGAGTTGCCTGAGGCAGGGGCCCAACATTGGCACCCCAAAATGCAGAGCCTGCACATCCAGCACAGAGTAGGAGATTAGCGCAGTTTCACTTCAAAACCCATGGCGCCTTGGCATCGCGGAATATGCTGTCACGGGTCGGAAGAGAAAGGGCCATAGCTACGCGCGCTGCTGCAGGATGACACGCCACCGAGACATGGTTGGAAATTCATCACATGGAGGTTCGCCCCAGCCTCGTGGACGGAGTTTAGACCTGAGCACGCCCCAGCAGTGTGTGCAGTAGGCGTTGCATCGGTGCTTCCTAAGGAGGTAATGCTGATGGCGATGACCAAGTAAGTTTCAGTGCGGAGCGTCGGAGCATCTTGGATGTCCGGAAAACATATCTGGGATTGAGCAATCTCGCACTCATGGGTTTACTGTAGCCAGTGGTGTTACTGTAGCTCGTGAGGTAGGGCAAGACGTGGGGTCCTGCCTGTTGAACAGATGCTGGCACAAGTCTTCCAGCGCTTGCACATATGCTTTATATCCGGATTTTGGAGACGCTTGGGATCACAAGGCTCGAAAGCTGAAGGGGGCTTCTGCCGCGTACTGAGGCTAGCAAGGCTTACAGGCCTGATGGAACTTTGCTCAGCTTTACCCCATGAAGGCTTTCGACAGCGAAACCCACAAGGTCCTGATCGTGACCTCATTCACGCGCCTTCCCCTTGAAGATTATGGTCAAGCTGCTGCATTTAGCCGACGGATACTTGCACCCCGCCGCGAGTCTTCAAGTGAAGCTGATGGAGACATGGAATCCAAAAGCTCGAAAATGCCCGAAGGTACTCGAAGCAACGACAATAGCTCTTGACAATACCAGTAACACCTGCACCCCAAAAGCCGAAACACACATCCAAAAGCCAGTCTGCGAGACCCCAAGAATCCCAAGTTGCCCAATCCCGAGCCCAATGAAAACGACTTGTGACCAACTTGTGACCAGGTGGCCGCAGTGGGTCACAAAGGAAGAGATGCGACCACTGGCCAGAACCCCAAGTTGCGGCCTCTGGCCGCTGAAGAACTCGGGGGGGTTATTCGCCGGTCGATTCGGGGTCGGGCTGCCTCTCAGGCTTAGGGCTTCTCCTGACTTTTTCGATCGGAGGAGGCCCAGATGTTCTGACGAATGCATTCGATGCTCAGCATGGCGTTGACCCCACTCAGAAAGCTTGCCCCGATCCGTGGCACATTTCCCTTCAAGGATTGAGGTCGTGTGCATGAGAGCTTACGGCCTACACGATGGGACTCTTCGGCTCTATACAGCGGCATGAGGTCGCTGGGGCCGCATAGCAGGTTGTTCCAGCACGTACAGAAGTAGCGACTCGATTTTTTCAGGTTACGCACGTGAAGTGCGGACGACAACACTTCAACAGCCGGAACAGTTGTGAGATTCGTTGGAAATGAAAGCGAAGACATCCTCGACAATCCTTGTAGAAAGGCTTTGAGCGTCGAGAGATAGGTGAAGCCGGTGAAACTCCATCAAAAGGGAGGGGCGGCGTGCACCCTCCAACTCAACTCCAATCCAGGGATCTCTTGTGATGCTCTCTTGTAAGCGCCCTACACCCCAGGTGCAAAAAGCACGTTGGCCGGCAGTGCAGCAACGTGGGCCTTGGAGAGCTTGGGAATTGGGAGGTGCCCACGCATTCCAAGGAGCATTGTGCGAACATGGAGGGGCCAAGACGGGCCAAGGGAAGGGACAGGATTACGACAGGATGGTTCGTGTAAGTTCGTTTTGAGAACAGCGGGCAACACGTGACCGCAGTTTGGTACTCACATTGGACCGGAAGATGTAATTCAGGTGCGGCGATTTTGGGCGTTTACGATATTTCACTGATATTTCGCACATGTTTTAGCTTTCTTGGGCTTGGGGGGAAGCTATGGAGCTGCTGGACAGTTGCATTCTTGAAAGCTACAAAGCCCACCGCTGATCACAGCCCTTATGGGTCATCTTCAGTCCAGCGAGATGCCGGTGCTAACGCTAAACTTCGGTGAAAAAGCCATGAGGTCTCGGCAATAGAGCTCCTGAAATCCCATGCAAATAAATCAGCCCAAGTCCGAGGTCCTAACACCTCGGAAATTCCTACGCCGACTGGAAGCCGCCCGATGCAATTGGCAATGGCAATGCCTGGCCATCGGACGCCGTTGAAAGGGACGGTGCCAACAGTGCCTGCGTCTCGCCAGACCCAAAGAAGGCAGCAAAAGCTTTTGTTGGCTCCCGGCTCCGAATTCACTCAGGATGTGGAAGCCAGCTTTGCCGTAAGGAAGTCATCTTCGGGAGCTTCTTTCGGCTTCGGAGCACAAGGAGCACAAGGAGCACATCTTTCGCCTCGGCTTCCTGCTGCCGAGAAGCGTCTGGAACAAGCAGACCCGGATCGGGCCTACTTCCCCTAACCCAACCCTTCCTCCCATGCAAAAATTGTGACGCACCCCCCCCCTCCCCCCCGCCCTGTGGGACCCCCCATCGCTTGGAGGAGCTGCAAACCGATGCCGTGGAGGGTCCCGCCTGCACAGAGGGAGCCCCTCAAGCCCTCGCCTGGCACCCTAACCCCTTTAACCTCCCTACCACCCCCCCCCCCCCCACCTGGACCCTTCCTCCCCTTTTTTTGCAGAAACTCTCTTTCCTCCTTTCCTGTCCTGGGGCCGGCCCGACTGCCGAGGCCGCGCGCGCAAGCGTTTACAATTACATTGCACAGGGAGCACATCAAAAGCCGTCCTCAACCTCTTCCTCGTGTGCATCCCAAAGAAATCGGAAGTCCTCCGACGGATGCTGGTCAGATGTTGATGGGATGCTATTGGTGGCATTCGTTGATGCTCCTGTGCCCAAGTTGTCATGCGAGGACCGTTGGGGATCGATGGCCAATTAGTGGGGGCCCTAAGGCTTGCCCTAAGGCTCCAAGCTGGACCAATTTTCTGAAAGTTTGATGGGGCATGGGAACTCTTCACAGCAACCCAAAGCCGCAGTGAATTAACTACCACAACGGTGGTGTGGTGTGGGGATGTGATTGATTTGGGGTTTTTGATTGCGAGGTCCGCCAGCCCCCCCAATGGGTTCAGAAACCTTTCAGCCTACGATGTCGCACTCGAAGCATGAGAGTTGGGCAAACTTTGTGGACCCGTCCGTCCTCCATGGCCTCTGCAGCCTTCAGCAGCGTACGGACGACCTCTGCGAATGTCAGGCTTGGAAATTGGAATGGCCCAGATTTCAGAGCAGAGGTCGTTGCTTCTCACACACGGCCAGAATTTCTGCCGTAAAATGACAGCAAGAGGTGAAAGGTCAAGCTACATGTGGCAACTTTGGAAACATGCATCGCGTTCATCAAACTGAAGAGCCCACGCCGATCCTGGGAATGGCTTCTGAGAAGGCCGTGAAGACAGATTGAAGAATATTGAAGACCTTCAACCCACTGGACATCCCTGGACGCTCTGCAGCGGTTGGTGCCCCACCTTCTCCTTGGGCTTGACATTGGTCCCGAAGGAGATGTACACCTGCCGCTTGAGGCTCAGGATGGCTCAAGATGCTCAGAGGCTGAAACACTCATACACTACTTGTCTCAGACTGTAGCACTGTAGCACTGGTTGAAGATAGTTCCTGAAATCCGCCGAGGCCAGATGAGGCGCTTTGGTTTTTGTCCAGGGAACCTTGTCAAAGTCTACCCCTTTGCCAGGCCGCCCCAAAATGATGGGGCGATCAGTGTATCCGGCGGGACTTTTTGGGGGTGGGGACTCCAGAATCCAGAATCCAGAATCCGGGCATCTTTCTCCCCCCCCCCTTTCGTATCCCGCTGCCACCTTTTGTCAGGTTCTGCCCCCTTCCCCGAACCCACAGATTCGAAACCCGCCGCCGTTCGCAGAGGCGGCCTCGCGCTAGCGATTAAATTATGCAATTTCTTTGGTGGGCACGCTCCTGGGATTGCAGCAGGCATTCCATCTAAGGGTTGGGAACCGGGACACGACAGGGTCATGCGGGGTCGGGCAGTCCAGGGCCCAAAACCTGAGGGTTGACCTCCAAACCTCCAGGGCCTGGTTGACTGCTTCAGTGCCCTCTAAAGGCTCTGCAGTTCTGGCCCATGTGGCTTTTGGTGATTGTTTCCGAGGCCGTGGCAATGCTGGAATTGTCGGCTTGAAGCCACTCCTCCACACGCCTGCACAGAGTCCAACCATCTGCCGACATGGACTTGCCCCAGGTGAATGTCTTCACATCTCGCCATAAGCCTCTCCCGCATGCTACACCAGAAATCAGGGGCACGAGCAGCGAGCATGCTGCGCAAGGAGAAAGCCCCTGTTCCGTTGATTTCAGCAAGCAAGGCTGAGGTGACGTAGCTCGCCTGTTCAATGCTGGCATCTGCTGCAGCTTCACTGTGTAGTCTTCCACTGGCCCAACCTGAATGCTCGCATCCCGGCCGCAAGGCTTCGCTCGGCATAGAGATTCACAGCTAGCCGAGTGGAAGCTTCCCAAACTCTAGCAACAGCCCCTCCTGTTCATATCTCGCGATCTGCCTGCAAGTCATTTTTACAGGAAGAGTCAATCAGGGATGAGGGTCAGTGAAGGCAATCCACTTCTCCCGAAGAACACAGTAGATGCAACTGGGAGCACCACCAGTACAGCGCGCGGGGGCAGTGGGCGTGGCCGGTCCAAGCCTCGGGCTGTGGGGCAGAAACCTTGCACCAAGGACTTTCTCGTCGCACTGCGGCCAGTCGGCTTTCAGAGCGTCGGCCTAGATACTGCCTAGATTCATTCTGCTCTTTGTGCAAGCGAACAGTATCTGGCCCGACTGACAGACAGATCACGAGGAACATGATGCTTCAATGTTTCAAGCTGGGCTGGCAGCCCCAATGCGACAGGATAATGACGAGCGGCCGGCCTTTTGTCAGTGGGTCCATGGGCTGGGCTTTGGGGGGAGAGGGGTGTATCTCGCGCCAGCTGCCTCGAAGAATTTTCGGAATTTGGGTCGTTTCCTTTTGGGATTTGTTTGGATTCGAGGAATGGGTTTTAAGGGTTTGGTGGTTGAGGGAGCCAGGTTTAGGGGTTAGGGATTCTGGGGCTTGGGGATTTTGGGTGAAGGGAGTCTAGGGTTCAAGGATTTTGTTTAGGCATCATAGGGTTTAGGCATTTAGGGCTTCGGGATTCTTTAGGATCAGGGTTTAGGGGTTTAGCGGTTTGGGGCTTAGAGAAGGGCTTTGACGAAAAAAGACAGAAAAACAACAATGGAAATTCACCAAAAAAATCTCCCAACCAGCTATCAGTTCGTGGATTGCGGCCTGAACAGGTTAAAGTTACAACCGTCTCGCCAGAACGACGCTCACAAACCCACAAACCCATGCTGACTTCGAAGTGCTCCAATTGAGCCACGGGGGCTTGAGCAGCTTGAGGAGTTCAGCCAACTTCGGATGTGTTGTGAGAAGCTAGAAGGTCAGCCTTACTCCGGCCCCTGAACCCCGATGAACCCGGGCGCACGATGGCCTCCATTCACCTCTGTGGTAGGCCTCGGTCGAAAACAACATTTTAAAGCCGAGGCGAGGTTGAGGGTCTACAGCATTCATTGGGGTTGCACAGTCTGGGCGTGGGATTCCGCGAACGGTCGCTGGGCACCCTTACCGAACATTTAGGAACTCAAAAGTTCGAAGTTGCTTCTCTGTGCCTTTATGCGACCCAGGGATCTTCACTAGCGAGATGCGTATGGATGCATCTTTTGCGACTTCTGCGACTTTCTGAGGCTGGAGGGCAAAGAAGCCAAAGAGGGACCGACACAAGAAGAGTCACCTGCCCCCAACGCGACCCAAACCTGGTACATGCAGAGGACTGCGAAGGCAAACTTTAAGACTTAAGTAAGAGGTTCAGTAATACTAGTTCCAGAAGTTATGTGCGCTGTGACCTGAAGCCACAGTTATATTGCCCTGGGCTGCCTTGGCCATTGAAGGTACCACAAGAGACATGAGCCCTTGGGCTTCGAGTTGGGAGAGACATGGGCCTTGGGTACAGCCTCAACGCAGCGCAGCCAGGGTGCTGTTGCTGGGCCATCTCTGTGCGTGACTTGTCAATGGATATCAGGTCTCGGGATACGGGTTAGAGTAGGATGTTCGCATGAAAAGTGCGTTAATAGGACCTTCGATAGACTAGTAAGCATTTGATGCGTAGTTCCCCAAACAGTGCTTGCACAATGGGGTTCTTACGTTCAGGGTAAAGGAATTGGTTGCTGACCGCAACGGCGCGCGCGGCGGTGGGACGGGGCCTTGGTTTCGATGCTCCCGCTGTGGTTTCGCGCGAATTCCGTTGCGTTTCGATGCTCCCGCTGTGGTTTCGCGCGAATTCCGTTGCATTTCGATGCTCCCCCTGTGGTTTCGCGCGAATTCCGGCCTCTCGTGGCCTCTTCAGGCCTCTTCTGGGGGGGCCACTTAGGTTGCCGACCGCAACGGCGCGCGCAGTGGGACGGGGCCTTGGTTTCGCCGCTCCCTCTGTGGTTTCGCGCGAATTGCGTGATGCTCTCGCTGTGGTATGTAGATCTATCTTTTCACACGCACCATTTATGTAATAGAAAACTGTGTGAACGCAAGGAATGGGTGAGCACAGCACAAACCCCTTAATTTGCTACTTTGTACAAGGGGCTTTTGCCCCATCAGATAATCTTATGTACTACTACTATTACGACGACGACGACGACGAAATATTTTATAGGTCTTCTCTGTTAGTGGCGCTGCAGCCTCAGACAGCAAATACGACACGCGGACGCAATCTGTTGTGGGACGGCTGCGAAAAGGCTCCAAAGATTTGGAACTCAAGCAACGTCGAAACTTCCCCAGCAAACGAATGGTCCTAGATACACCTGATTTCAGCTACAGTTTGAGGAAAGGTAACGCACCTTCCCGAAAGGAAAGCAATCCTAACACGGAAGGAATGCGCCTGTCGTCTCGTCTGCCGGGCCCCGAACGCCTCGAGTAGCTGCAGCGCACCAAGATCGAGGGCTGCACGGAGGCGTCTCCTGCTTCAGTAGACAAGGCTTGAACATTAAGCTCACGTACTCAAGCTCTCAGAGCCAATAGGAAAAGGGCTCTGGGATTTCCGGTTTGAGAGCGTTTCGGCGGACCGCGAAGCCTGCGACCTGCACCTTGAAGCCACTGATGTCGACAATTTTGTCGACATCTGGAACATGCCAAAACCTGCCCGTGAATTCCAACATGTCACTCGTGGTGGGCGCCTCGGCGCATGGAATCCAGCCCAGGACATGAGCCACCTTAGGGGCAGAAACGAGGCGGAGAATAGCAGAACATAGCAGAGAAAATCAGAGAATAGCGGAAAAAATAGCAGTATTGCCACTGCCTCATGGCATGGGCATGGTCTTTCCGCACTGAAAAGAATGGGATGAATGCTTTAGCAGTCTTTATCGGAGGCTCACTTCGCTTTCAGAATTCCAAAGAGTCTGAGTACTCCAAAGCGCTGGCATAGCGAAAACTTCTAGCATCTAGCTGGTTATACATTTTCTGCTGATCTGATTGCCCTTGGTTCCAACGTGCACAGTAGGCCTCTGATTGCCACCAAACGACTGAACCATTACATGTCATTGACTGTTGCAACTGGCTGCATGAACCCACGACTACAAAGTTCTAAGCGTTCCTCACACGGCATCCATGTTCTGCGCAAGTCTCGACGTTCGCATAATGGCAAGAATTGCACTCACGTGATTCATCCTCGTTTTCCTGGGCTGTTCTCTCTGCAACTGCTGCACACAACCGTCCACAGCGCTTGACAGTTCGTTGATTGCAAGAAGTGCGCACATCTGCCTGGAATGTGTCAGTATGTTGACGGCTACTGAGCAGTGGCAAATGCAAAAGAGGCTTGCAGCAACCTTCTATCTCAATAAATCTTCAGACGAACATATTTTCTACTCCGCTGCAATATTCCCGGTTGACTGGTGTTTTCCATTTCTCACCAGGGAAAAATCTGAAACAACAGGTATTAAAGAAACATCCAAACCCTCGAAACCCTTGGAACCCTCGAAACCCTTAAGACTTCCTAAGGCTCTTCTTAAGGCTCTTCCGCGGCTTGGTGGCAGGAGGACATTCTCTCGACAAGCGGCGGCAAGCCGAAGGTGGCTAGAAGGCGCTTCGTTCGATCCGCCAGGGACTGCGCAGGGCAAAGGTCTGTTCACTTACGTCCGCCTCTTTCTTGGGATACATATTGGGCAAGGCTTGCACCCTTTCGAGGGATGTCATGGGGCTGCTAAATTTGTATAAACCATTATAAACCCCAAGGCGGATGGGGCGCGAAACTACGAGTTTTTCTAGCGGATGCTTTGGGGCTGCAGTCAGATTCTGCACAGGATCGTAAGTGAAATTGTGGCATGCACAGGTTCAGTATCGTGCCACATCCTGTCTGAAACCTTCACAATCCGGCACAGCGCCCTCAAACACTCTGAGACTCGGAACCCGAGTGAATAGATCAGAACATAGCAGGACCGGCACAGCCCATGGAGCCCCTCTCGAGCCCTTCGAAAAGCATCCAACCAGTTCAGTCGGCTTCGCCTGCTGGTCGGCGGACTGCGTGAAGGCAAAGAATTCCGAAGGGAGCCTCCCTACTTACCCCCTAAGGCCTTAAGCTACAGTGGCTTAAACCCAATTTGGAGATCCTACTTTCCTGTTTTGCAGCTCTGAATCACACAGCTATCTGAAACAAAAGGCAGGTGCTCATTCTAGGACGCTCACGCGGAAGTTTCCCTACAACCTCACAGGTGAACAAACCCCGTTGGAGTCCGCCAGTTACATCCAAGTACACGTAGAAATGTGATGTCCCGCAAAACTGGCTTGCAGCTTGATGAGGGTCATAGCTTGGGTTTGTCGGTTTTTGGTGTTTGAAGATGTTGAAAGCACGTCAGGTCGCAGCTTAGGTTTTGACCAAGCCTTTAAGACAAACTCATGAGCTGAGTCTTCAGCTACAGTGCCGAAGTCAGGCAAGGACTTTCCAGCAGGAACTGCATGATCGATGCTACAGGCCTACGCATTCTGCCTGGAGACTTATCTGTTTTGCTGAAAAGGTTATTTTGGGGCTCTTGCCAGGTGTGCTCGCCCAAACTGGGCTCGCCAACTGACCTGGATCTCGGGTCTGGTGTTGGGCGGCGGGTGTGGCATGTAGGCCATGTAGGACCAGTTCAATTTGCAAGATGAGAGGGCCAGCGGAAGAAGACAGTGGCATCCGAGCAGCAACAGGGACCCTAAGTCTCCAAATTGCACATTGTACAATATCCAGCACAATTCCAGAAACCCCAAATGCAGTTGCCAAGTGTTTGGAGGCTTTGGGTAGGGGTCAAAGAATGGAGTTAAAGCATTAGGATGCATGGCGACTTCCAGACTTAAATAAGCATAGTGTCTCTCAAATGCCTTTGTGAGCAGGGGTTGTTCTAACCCTTTGTTTCATCCGTGATTCGAATCACTTGAGTAGCCTGCATCTCAATTCGCACAACATCTACAACTCAACCTCCAACTCAGCTTTTCCGTCACTTGAACGACCCATGCTGTTGAGGCCGTAACCTCACGGTATCCCCGGCCCGAACTATCGTCCAAGTCGCAGGCTGAAGTGTGGGTCCTACCTGTGCAGCAACGTGATAGACAAGACCCGAACAATGCAGGTTAGCATGAAGAGGACTACAGTCTCAAGAGCATCAGGGACAGGAGTTCCTTCTCAAGCTTGCAAATTCTTTGACTAAGACACAACGATGCGAAGCAAACATGTCTTTGTCGCAGAGCTTTCGAGGTTCGGGGAGGGACGTGAAGGGCTCCATACCAGAACACGGATGCCATCATTTGATGCTGAAATTCATTGTGTGCGCGTGCGTGTCCGTGTGCTGCGTATAGATTTATGGTACATATGGTACCGCCCCTGAGAATCCACCTCCAGAGCGTGGGGGTTTAAGATGCCTCGGACCTTTTCGTATCGGGTTGCAAAATAACAGTAACTCTTTTCGTGTTGGTGTAGCACAGTACTCACAACTAAAAATCTACAGGATGAATATCTACAGGATGAGGACTATCATGATGGTGTAAATCTCGTTGGTATAGATGTCACTATAATTGAATTTACATAAGATATACTGAGGGTGAGGTGTACGACTGCGTTTTCTGTGTGTGTGCGCTTTGGGATGTAGGTTCTGAGCTTTTGCTGCTTCTTGCGTGTTGGCAGATTTGGAAAGCCGATGCTTTGGGATGTAGGTTCTGAGCTGTTGCTGTTTCTTGCGTGTTGGTAGATTTGGAAAGCCGATGCTTTGGGATGTAGGTTCTGAGCTTTTGCTGTTTCTTGCGTGTTGGCAGATTTGGTAAGCCGATGCTTCGGGATGTAGGTTCTGAGCTTTTGCTGTTTCTTGCGTGTTGGCAGATTTGGTTATCTGATGGGTTCTGAGCTTTTGCTGTTTCTTGCATGTTGGCAGATTTGGTAAAGCCGATGCTTGGGGATGTAGGTTCTGAGCTTTTGCTGTTTCTTGCGTGTTGGCAGATTTGGTACGCCGATGCTTTGGGATGTAGGTTCTGAGCTTTTGCTGTTTCTTGCGTGTTGGCCGACATGGAAAGCCGATGCTTTGGGATGTAGGTTCTGAGCTTTTACTGTTTCTTGCGTGTTGGCAGATTTGGTAAGCTGATGCTTTGGGATGTAGCTTCTGAGCTCTTGCTGGTTTCTTGCGTGTTGGCAGATTTGGAAAGCCGATGCTTTGGGTTGTAGGTTTTGAGCTTTTGCTGTTTCTGGCATGTTGGCAGATTTGGAAAGCGATGCTTTGGGATGTAGGTTCTGAGCTTTTGCTGTTTCTTGCGTGTTGGCAGACATGGAAAGCCGATGCTTTGGGATGCAGGTTTCTTTGGGATGTAGGTTTTGAGCTTTTGCTGTTTCTTGCGTGTTGGCAGATTTGGAAAGCCGATGCTTTGGGATGTAATGTTAACGTCCCATGTACAAACGGGGCGGCAACAGTAATATTCGCCGGGCCAGAGGGCCCCAGCCGAAGACTACTTTCCATTACGGGAGGTTTTCGGGCCGATGTATGTGGACGGGTCTATATAGGGGGGTCCGGTGATAATAATGGGGCGGCAAGTGTAATATTCTTCCGGCCAGGAATGGAAAATCCCACCGAAAATGGCGAGCAAGCAGAACCCTTCACAAGACAAAGCAAAGCTGACCCTGACAGCTGACCCCCCCAGACCCCCAGACCCCCACACCCCAGACCCCCAGAATCCGCATTGTTGACACCCCCTCTTTTTTTCCACCCCTCCAAACCTCAGGGACCAAAACAAGATTGGGGGGGGGGTTTATTAAAGGGACCCTAACATTAGGTTTTGAGATGTTTTGAGTTTTTGCTGGTTTCTTGCGTGTTGGCAGATTTGGAAAGCCGATGCTTTGGGTTGTAGGTTTTGAGGTTTTGCTGTTTCTTGCATGTAAAGGCCTCGCGACTTCCGACTCCTAGGCTTGCCACTGCTTTGGGATCAGAGAAACCATGAGAAACCCCAAAACAAACCCCCCCCCTCCTCGTCCCAAACTCCCAAGTGCTACACTTGGTCCATTTTTGCCTAACACGACTTCATTGATAGTTTCAAACTGTTCCTCTTCCATCACTTCAGCTGTATTGCGAGGCGCGCACCGGCCAGGAGGAGATGACTGCGAATCTCAACTGAAGCCTGTGCAGGGCATCAATGTGGCTTAAGGCGATCTGGGAAATAGGGCATGCCCAGGAAACCACGTAAGCCAGCCAGTCTTTACCTAAAGAGGAGCTGTCGCCCGGCGTCACCCTATGCCAATCAAGTGCGCGTCTGAACCAACAGATGAAGCCGGGGGAACTTGAGGAAGCCAATGTAAGTTATAAGCGTTCTGCAGGGTCAGAAAGTTGAGCTTCTTTGAAGATTTGGAACACACCTGACAAAGCTCCACAAAGTCAATTGGTGGAGTTTGCCTGCTTAGCAACGACCGACAGCCACGTTTAGCGGCTTAGCGCTTGTTTCTCCTGGAGATACTACAGCAACCACGGCATGCTTGTCCCAAAACGGCGTAGGAGTGGGAGGAGTCCAAAGTTCGGAGTTCGGGTTTTTTAATTCAGACGAAAGGATGCTCCATAGGAGTCCCGCTTCTCGGCAAGGTCCATGGCACCCACCTCAGCCACATGTCCAGCCACATGTCCAGCCACATGTCCAGCCACATGTCAGCCACATCCTGAATGGAAGCCCGCGATGTTTTTGCTTTATCACACAGACACAGCAATCAAGCTCCCATCGCTACTGGGGCTTTTCGGCTTCTGCAATCACTAGAGATGTTGGTGCATGTTGCATTCCCTGAGCCCTGTGCCGAGGAGACGTCAATGGCCAGAAGTGCTGGCCTTGACACAGCTCCTATCATCGATGATATTTCGGGGTTGGGCGGAGTTTAAGTTTGTCACTGCAACCTGTGAGTGAAGGAAAAGTCCGACAACTTTCCTCCACGGACTGCACAGGAAGCTGCACCACCGGAAACACGAACTGATGCAACGTCCCTCGGAGAAATGTGCATTGGATCGCAAGCATGGGTCATTTAAACTACTTCCTGCGTCACGCCCTCAAAATAGCATTCGATGCAGATACGTAATGTATTTGCTTGCATGATCTTGCATCTTCAGTTTGAGGCTGCCTGAGGCCAAATCCACTGGTCGCGCGGGCGTTCGTGGAGAGTACGGTTCAAGCCTTTGGTGTTGCGACAGTCTGTTGCTGAGAGGCTACAGTCTAATCCAAAAAAGGATGTTGGAACTTCAGGGTTCAAGCAGGCCAGCTCAGGTTTGCGGTGCAGGGTCGGGGTGTGACAGGCCTACTGGATGAGGACAGTTTGTGACCTTGGTGTAGGAAGCACTCTGACTCGACCACCCCCCACGCTCGAAAAGGGCCGTGTTTCCAGAATGAATCCAAATGGTGGCGCAATGTGGCACAAGAAGGTTGGGAAGAGTGGCGATGACCTCACTATCACTATACCTCACTCATCCTAAACTCATACTTCAAGATGAAGCCGACCCCCCCCCCCCCCCGAGAAGCATCCTGAAGCCCCCCGAATGCAAATGTCGGCCCCCTTTGCCTTCGAGCAAGCTCCGCTGACTCCCGCTGAAGTACTCCTCGGAGAGCTCCGCCTTCACAATAACATGTTCTCACGCCCACCTCAGGCTGCGGAGAAACGGTCGGCCAGAAATCCGAAATTCTCCAATGCTGCAAAAACGAAGTCCCGGAGCCTTTCGAGAGTCATTCTGGTCTGCCTGGCTTCGCGACAACTTGGTGCTTCGGATCGCATGTTGTCCGTGAGAACCCATTTTAACTCATGGGTCAGAACTCTAGCTTTTCCGGGCAATGCACCGTCATCCGACACATTCCACCCACACGAACACCTGGGAGACAGATGGAGAGAGCAACCATCCAATCACAAGGGAATCACCCCATGAAGTAAACAGCCAACAGCCCCAGATTCCAGCAAACATCAAGGATAAGGCCTGCTCCGGAGGGCCGGGTGGTGTAGGATCCTCGTGGTGGGTGGCGAGGGCGAGGTGTTTCGTGGACTTTGGGATTGAAGCTTTGTAGCTTGGTGTCTCGCCTAAGTGCGAATCAAAATGATGTTGATTGAAGGTATCTTAGAGGTTCTGGCCTTGGGTAGGGAGACAAGCCGAGCCGTTCACGGGCTTACAAATTTCAAAACACTACAGCACAGCATGTCGAGGGGTGCAGGCCCAACACGCCTTAAACCTACACCTAGGCGTAAGCCACAATCCACGAGTTTTATCCACAAATTCAAAGGCACCCTCTGTGATCCTGTAAGTTCATTCGAGCAGCGTTTAAGGTATGGCTCGCCCGTCTCTGGGCCGCCACGCCCACAGGGCCTGCCGGAAGTGTAGCTCCTCATCCCAGGACCTTTGGTGCAAGTCCGTTCGGCTCTCGTCTCTTTGAAAGGGTGACGGAGAGCATCGTTGCTTTGCTCAGGTTTTGGAAATCTGGGGCGTACTTAACGGTTGCAGGACATTGCGAGACAAGGCTTTCAAGAATCAGCTGACAAGTATCACCACAAGCCATTCCCCATCGACAGCAAGTTTATCCTAGAACCTCACGCATTCCTCCAGGTCCACATCGGTCTGTGGTTTAGGCCGCCACGAGGGCAGCCATACGCTGTGGGATGGCAGGATGCCAAGCTCCGTACGCGCACGTGCACGCGCGCGAACGTGCAAGCATGCGTTGACAGTGCTGCCTGATCCTCAAAAACTCACAGGGATGCAAGCACGCGAGGCCAACATCAAATCTGATTCCGCAGTTTCCACCCCGCTTGGAATTCTTGGCAGGTCTCTCAGTCCTCAGAAGGAAGCGCTCAACAAACTATCGGAAGAAGTATTTTGTGAGTAGGTCAATGTTCGGTCTAAACCCTAAAAGGAGTCACATGGCCGCCCATGCGGCAAACAAGAAAAGACTCCGTATAGCATACCGGCATTCGCATCTGGGTTAGGCTCTGAGCTCGAAGATCCTAGCACTCGGAAGCTCAGAACTCGGCCATGGAAGGCGCCTGGGATTGGATTTCGCGCAGCAGTCTGTGGGGATCAGCTTCAAGATAGCAAGAAAAGATGAGTAGTCAAAAGATGAGAAGTCAATGCGTAATCATTGAACTTCCATACAGTCAGCCTCAGGGCGCTCGTCAGCAAAAGAGCACCAGCTCTTCAGCAAGCCCCACATTGCCCTGAATACAACACGGAAAATCACTGAAACGCTCGGCGGGGTTTGAGTGGCGGCGCGCTGCTTGAAAACTCTCCATGCCGGGTCCGCGACCCGGCACTCAAAGCAGTCAGCTGTGCCGGAAGCAAGGACCGTACCTGGAAAAGGGCTGCAGCTCTGTATGAGTCATCTGTGATGCAGAAGCTTCTGAACCGAAAGATGAGCTGAGGGTTCTGAACAAGGGATCGCCTTGAGCACACCGAGTCCAGTCGTCAGATTGGAAGCTTGTAGCTCATCCAACGAATCTCTGCGCCCCCCCCACCACCACAGTGTCCACACCTCGTCATGCAGCACGAACTTCACCTGCGCGATTGCAGGTACTCACAGTACCGAGCACGCAGCCACAACTTTGCTGCACACATAGTGCACTGCTACATATCCCCGCTTCCGTGCAACCAGCTTTTCGTGCAGCTTTTCGTGCAACTTCTTGCAATGCGTCTGGTTGTCGAGCACTCAGATGCTGCTGAAACCGCCACATGTGATCTACAGTCGGCACAAATCAGCACATGGGATGAAGAACAACATGCAGCGAAAGCCACTCGAAAAATCGCAGCAACGACAAAACGATCCAAGGGGCCCAGCTAGAATCTCAGAACCCTAGACTGAACTCCTGCCCGCCGCCTCGTGGCCACGTCGGACCAACTCCAAGGCAATGGGGCAAAGCGCCTGATTCTTGTTGAGAGGTTTGCGTGGTTTTGTGCAGAAGGAGAGAAGTGTAGGTTCACAAAAGGCACGGTGACGTGTGCATGGGGCATCTGTCGGACGGGTCTTCAGGTGTCAAGGGATGTCATGGCACGGCCTCAGTTGTCAGTCTAAGACTCTAAGCATACAGAAACCCAACAGAAACCCAAGAAGTCGAAGCACAAGGCAGCACAGTAGAAACTGCCGCCTTGATGTGACCGGCATGTTGCCATGACACAAACCTGGCCGGCATGGAACCAATGTCGCCTTGAGTGCTTGACCTCTACATGGAGCTCCACACCACCGATTAGCTGAAACACTCAGAATCTCATCTGTCCCTATGAGCTGCTAAGACCAAAAACACCGCACAAGCCACACAACTCAGAGCTCCAGCCCAGAGATCCAGCTCAGCTTCCTGAAAGCTGCGAAACTTCGCAAAACCCGAGATTCCAATTCTAGGGGGGTCAAAGCATAGTGAAAGCCCTGAAACCAGGCTGGTCGACCAGATCTCGGAGACCTCGCGCGGAATCTCCAAATAACGGACACATGTCAGTTACTTTGCTTGGGGATTCTCGGTGCGCTTCCAGCGTGGGTTTAGGATGCACGGCTCAGCACCACCTAGAGCTGCCCAAAGAACTTGAACGCTGCTGTTACCGGCAGGTCTGCTCGCAGGACCGCAAGAGTTGGCTACCGGCACCGACAGGACAATGGCACACATCAGCGAGAAAACAGGGGCTACCCATCAAAAAACAGCAAACGCGACTCGCCCACGCCTCCCCCCGTCAAAACTAAAGCCTAAAGACCCAAAAGCAGCAATCGAAACCCAATCCACAATGAATCTTGAACCTCCAAAACTTTGTCACAATCTGCGGTTTGGAGATGCTTTCAGGAAGATGGCTACGGAGCCATGCACGTCATGCGACTTAGTCTTGGCTAGGGAGAAAGTGGCGAAAAAGAAAGCCGGCTAGAGATTTAGTGGCGAAGAATCAGTGAGTGAATGGCATCGCGCAGGATGCCGTGCCTCGGGCGCTATCCCTCCCAGCTTCGCAGGGGACTCCAAAACCGTCATCGTCCCCTCCACTTGGAGTTCATCAACAAGGGAGGTGTGGGAAGGTGGCATGGTACAGCTCGGCGACTCAAGAAGCGGCACCAGTTTGGCGAGGATGATCGACCCGGGCTGGGGTTCAGGAGCCCAGCAGGGCAGCCAAGCAGCCAGCAGCCCAGCCCCAACAGCAGCCAGCGAGCGGGAAGCGCGAGCAATCGCACGCAGTCAATTCGTGGGCCGTACACGGCAGTCTGCACCCTTGACAAAGGAACTTGTCCCCCGATGACAAGAGAAAAGCGAGGGCTTTGGGCCGGAGTATACGAAGCTGGCACAAACCACAAAGAAATTTTTATGTACGGTAAGCTCCCGACTCCGAGAGCACACAAAATGAGCCCTTCAAAAAACGGAGTGCCCGTGTTGATCCCTGCCGATCCCTGTTGATCACTTAGCGGTGCCTCACCCTTTAGCCGCCAGGGCAGGAGGAGCCATGGCAACAAGTGGATCTTCATGGGGTTTAGGGTTTGCATGGGTTTGGGCTTGTTGTAAAAGTGCTGTAAACGGCTTGAAACGGCTTGAAGGTTTAGGCCCCGCGAAAGATAGCTCACTCCACGACTGCCAAGACAGCTTGTGATGGTTTAAAGGCCCGTTGCTCTGTTGCGGACACATACCAGCATATGCAATGCATGTATAAGCTAAGTAATGTAGCGTAGCGTAACGCAATCGAATAACATGGAATGGAAAGCAGTGTGTTTGTACACGGTTTGAGTATGGCCATATTCACATGCATGTCTGTGCCTATCGATGCAACACGGCTCGGACAAGAAGCGATGAGACGATGGCCTCAGCCTCAAGCCTGTCTTGGTGCCGTCTGAGGAATCGAATCCTTGAAGACTACTGCTGCTAAACGCATCTGTGCGATGCGGTCGTGTGGGGCGGCAAGGTGAGAGCCTAAGAAGGGCCTGTGGAAGCTCTCCAAGAAACCAGCGCAGTCAGTGTGCATTCAGTACATGCCTTCGTGCCTCGAGCGCCCAGATGAGACAATGATAACTCCGGAGTGACTGCGGGACTCCGCTCAACTCGAAGGTTTGTACTGCAGGTCGGAGAGTTTCCCTGTGATTCGAACACCCTCACATCATGCAACCACAGTACCCACAGCAGTCCAACAGCGGTGCCGACGTTATCTCGCGCGAAGCGCTCGCTGTGGATTTCTGCAGGGAAGGCTTCACGGTGGTTTCTGGGTCTGGGGATTGCAAGATGTTGAACTATGGAACCCCAGCTGTTCCGGACATGTCTAGTTCTTGTACCCCAGCGAGAGTCATATCTTTCGACACTGCCTCACTTCAAAAAAAAGATGTCTGGAAGCCTACGAGTATCGCCTCAAATTCAGCCTGCTGCACTGGAACAACACCATGCCAGAAATGTCGAGAGATAAAATAGACTCTCATTCGCCTCGGCTTCCAGCCGAGAGGCATCTAGAACAAGCAGACCACGGTCCTTCCCCCTTCCCAACTTGTGTTGGGACCCCCCGTCAGCGCAAAACCCGGTGTTTTCTGGGACCCGTGGGACCCTCACTTCACTTGGGACCCCCCCCCTTCCCCCCTGACCCTCAAAACCCTTTGTGGGGCCCTCCCTGACACATCCCCTAAAACCTTATGAGCCAAAGTTTTTTTCGAATTTCTTGGTGGGCTGGCCCGGCTGGCGCGCGCAAGCGTTTACAATGAGGTTTCCTCTGCAGGGATGAGGGTATGCCAACTCGGGTTTAACGACTGAAGCACGAAAACAAACCACAGCGAAGCCACCGAAGTCCAATTTTACCAAACCTAGTACCTCTAGGACATCGGAACTCTAGCAAATCAGTACGCCGCAGAACCCTTCAATGAAAAGAAACAAACCTTGCTTCAACTCTTGGGGAGTTACCCCTGTGCGCCTGGACCCTACGGAGAGAGCCGAGTACCTATCAGCGCGGTTAGATTCTCAAGCATTGCATCCCCTCTATGAGAGCAGTGCAATGATGACAGGGGCCGTCTTGCTGAGACTCAGAGAGATGTGTCCGACACAATCTGTGTGGGCTGTGTCGAGAGGTCACGTTGCAATATTCTATCAGAAAAACTTTGGTGTGTCGTATGCCACACAAACACATGCTTCCAGATGTACTTTCATAAGCTCGCCAACCACCAGCTCTGGGACCCGTGTGGGTGCGCGGAAAGGATGCGCCCCCCTTCTCAAATCTTGCGTACATTTGTGTACCCCAACCCTTCCCCGCTTCACCCACCTCTGAAGACAGCTCCCGCATCTTCCTCTGCACGGCCTCGGGGTACTTACCGGATGGGGTTTCGGTGGCATTAGCTGGCATAACAAAGGCTTCGTGGCAGAATAACTCTCGAAGCGTCTGCGTTTGTGATCGCTTTCGCTTGCATCGACTGCAGCATCATTAAGATAAGGAATCCATTGCTCTTCCCTGTTTAAGCCACCTGTCACAATGCTACGACTCTCAGACAAATGAAGCAGGCATAGACGCTTCCGGATCGCGAGCAAGCGACTTTGGCCTACAATGCCTACACTTGCACAATCGTGCCGAGGCCCAATCATCCATGTTCTTGTTGGCCTCCTTCACATCCTGGCAAAGTGCCCCAGCAGCGAGGGACTGGTGATGACTGGTGGTTTTAATCTGTGCGCGGCTCGGTCGCGGGTCCGCATGTCGGTGCACCAAACAAGGCAAGATTGCAAACGCGTATTCTCTTGTACCTACCTGTATGTGAGGCCCGACAATGGGGTCAGGCTATGCGTCTAGGCAAGGCCTAAAGCACATGAGCGATCTGAGCAACTGCATCCGTTTCGTCGCAGCGATCCTGCACTCAGTGAGTGCCTGACAGGTTGTCCTGCTTTGTGAGGCTCTGTGTGCGCCTGTTAGGTATGCGGTTGTATGTCTGTACAAAGTTTAGTGGTGCGGGTGTTCGCACGCATTGCATCAGGGCAAGAATTAGCCGCACGCGCAGGCCTTTGAAATATGGCAGACCTCCGCATTGCAAGTATGTATGGATCGGGCACGGCCACGATAGCGGTACTAGTGGAAATTTGCTTCGAATAAAGAATGACATTCGTCCTTGGGCAGCTCCCCGCTGGGGGAACGAGCAGGCGTGCTTGTTACTCCACGAGCCAGAAGTGACCCCAGCCACTAGCACAGAAGTTACCCCACGTGCGCAGAAGTTGTCCCAGAGTCCCTTCCACGAGGATACAGCGGTGTTCAAGAGCCACGTTTTCGAAACAGTTTTCGGACTTCACACTTCACACCACCGTACCTTCGAGGTTGCCTCTTCCCAGCACCCTCAACACAAGCAAAATCATCTTCAACTGTTGGCCCCCACGCAGGGCACAGGCTCTTTTTCTCTTAGAATGCAGCTAGATTACAGGGAGCCTCCACGCCAACGCCTTCGAAATCGCATGTTCCAAGGGCCCCTCACAGAAACCAAAATGATCTTCAAACGGTGGCCCCGCCGCAGGGCACAGTCTCTTTGTGGCCGACCGACACAGCCCACGAAGACACTACGGCGAGCAACACCATGAAGGCCGGAGAGAGCTCAACTTCCGAATATGTGGAACTCTGCGACAAGCTCAGGTACGTGCGAGTGGGCGACGGGCAAAGTTTCACGTAGCTGGATGTCTCCCCAGCGTGAACGCTTGCAACCCGACCTTGAGACAGTCGCGTCATTCGAGGAAACTTGCCTGACCTGTACAGTTTAAACTTGAGCTCCAGGGCCACACAATCCTTGCGTGTGTTTTCCCGTCACTCTGCATGCAGTTTGTTACTTGGCCCAGCAGTGTAGGTACAGTTTCGTCGTTAGTCCTTCCTGCAATAGTCTGCCAGCATCAGTCTCCTCTCACCAGTCCATCTAAATGGTGCTCGTCCTAGCGCTATCGTAACTCTGAGGCCCCTTTGCTGCGCATGGCTGGCGGACAGCTTTGGCCATCCAGGACGGTGCTCACAGTACTGTCGATTCGGGCGTGCTGCACTGCATGCTCCCGCTGTGCACATGCCTCAGACCGCCTGTGGAATCATGTTTGCGGACGAGCAGAGTCATACACTTCCAGGTGACTGTGCCTGTAGGGAATTGCAGGCATTCTGTTGGTGCAGTTCTCGTTGTCCGACTCGCCCGGCCAGAAATGCTGCTCCGGAATCTTCATCAACACCCATCAACTCCCATTCCCATCAACACCCATCAACACCCATCAACTCCGATCAACACCCATCAACACCCATGCACCCATCCACACTCACCGTCCTGCGTTCGCAGGCGCTCGCCGCGGAGGTCCGTCCATGCAAGGCCGCTCTCTGAAGTCCAGAAGTCTCTCGGAAGGTCTCCTTGTCTGTTCTTTATACGAAAATATATGCATAAACAAAGTATATGATGCGGAGGGAGTTTGAGGGGGGCCGGGGGGGGAGGGGGGCAACTTGCAGCCTCCCTGAAATGGGGCGAGGGCTAAATTAGAGTCGACATTTCCTCGAGTCGCCGTAGACACAGGTGACACAGGCTTGGAGTTAGATATTTACCTGCCCTGCCCCTTCCCCCCTCTTCGCCTCCTTCTCGTCGGGCTTCCACCACCTGTATAGGCCTGGAGGTCTGATGAGTCTAAGATTCAGGCCTAAGCCCGTTGAGTCCATTCTCGAAGAATTCTCCAACAGCTGAAGTCCGAGATTCTCCTGAAGCAAAGCCAACCCGAGAGCAGCCCCACAGCCCGGAACCGCCACGAACAAGACAACGCTCAAAGGAAGCTAAAACCGTATACTGGTCCAGAGTACCGTGAACTCCGTGAACTGCGAAATGTGGGAAAAAAATGCTTGCGGAGCTAGCAGGTGCCCCTGAGATCCCTCAGTTTTTCTCAGTGCCGTGCTCACCGTGGTCACCAAAGCGAACAAGACCCGGGCCGCTGCCGGGCAAGTCTGAACAGAAAAGATAGAACAGTGCTTCAAGTGGTTCATCTTTGTTCATCTTGGCTCTGCGGTTTCGTGTGGGTTGCACATCTGGCGCTTCACTTGATGTCAGGGAGGGAGGGCGCAGACATGCGTAGACATGTGTAGACCATGATCAACTCGAAGCATCCCTGGCTTATGAGGGCGGCGCAAAACTGAAACCCAAAGACGCCCAATCCCTGGCGTGCAATCTGTCCGATGGCATAGGATGCCCTAGGATGACCTACAAGTAGGATAGCCTGTGGTGGCCCGAGTCATTTCGAGTAGAACTGCAACCTGGAATATAATTTTGGCGACTCCCAGAGCACTTGCGTGTGATCCAGGCTCCTGCATCGGACTTTGGCCTCAGAGTCGTTGGCTTTGACGAAGCTTAGGGGCTTTACTAAATCCTCGAGTTCGCACATGGTGTGTATGCGGGCATGAAAACAATCGCCGATGTATGGCGATGCTCATGCAAGAGAAGGCAAGAAGTTTGTGAAGAGCACACAGGAATAGGAACGACTAAACAAGAAGAACATTGCAACTCATACACGGCGGAAGAAGACATTGAATGACATTGAATGCTTCGTGGGTTGTGAACCTCGCGGCCGTGATGCGGAGAAAAAAACTCACACCATGTTCAGAGCCCAACCTTGCCAAGATTAAAGACAAGCCGCCTGACGGGAATGGAAATTGAAAGGGCTGGGAGGAGTACTTCCAAGAACCCATCACTGTGGGGCTTCTGCACATGCCTTCATAAATGCGGCTTTGGGTAGTCCAGATTTCTTGCAGACCTCTTGGACTTCGCATTGTCCAGCTTTCACTACTGACGTCATCGGATTCCGTGCGAGCATCGCTGGCAGAGTAGCTCCAACTCCAACGCCAACCAACTAGACTCATACCAAGCCACAGGCCAGCGGCTCTCATTGTTTCTGGGATTGTGATGGCTTGCGACAAAGTTGATACAAAGCAGGTCGACCAATCTGGACATCGACTCCCCTTCAAATTCGCCCCGGCTGAGAGGCGTCTGGAACAAACCGGGATGGTCTCCCTTCCCCCCTTCCCAACCCTTCCCAACCCAACCCTTCCCCGACCCCCCTTCTGCCCTGAAACCTTTCTGGGGCCCCCTCCAGACCGCCCGAGAACCCCTAAGAACTGCCCCTTGAGATGCTCTGGAAAGCCATCAAAACCTTCTCCTCTCCGAGGAACTGCCGAGGCGGCGCGCGCAAGCGTTTGCAATTATCTTGAAACACACGAAGCGCCGCAACAAAAAGAACAAGCAATCCGCGTGCCGTCACGGAATACCACTGAGGGTGAGGCTTGGAGATCGTCTTGGCAACGGTGCCCAAGGCTAAAACCTTGTTGCTTTGAGGATTGACCGGTCCATCGGTCCGTGGTGCACGGCTTGAGAAGGCCCCATGACAGACAACACTTCAATGCGGCGCTCCTAACTTCGAAGCATTCGCGCAAGAAGCCTGGTGCAAGCGGTCACATGTGCTGACTGTGGCTGGCACGTTGTGGCCATAGATATCCGTGACCTGCAATGTCTGAGCATATACTTCGAAGCCTCAAGCCCTGTCACTATGGCACCGCAGCTCCTTTTCTTTGGTCTTGACTGTGCCAAAGTCTTGGCATGTCTTGGCGGCATCTGTGCCGGCTTCGGCCTGACGCCAGCATTCCGTTCTGCTTCGCTCCCGGTGCAATAGCCACAGCCCGAAACCTGCCTTGATGAGGTCACTGCGGCTCGCCAGGCGCTCGAGCAAAGTGAGCGCAGATGGCCTCGTATGCCAAGGCAACCTCCAGGTAGCGCAAACAGAGGAAGCACGTACACATCTCGGGCTTTGGGGGAGGAACATCAATGTATAAGGAGACAACCCCAACCAAAGAACAGATCACCAGGTGCTGTTTCAACCAGAAGCCAATAACGACAAGCAACCCCTGCATCCTGGACTCCCATTTTTGCCCTGTAACAAAACACTTTGTGCAAAGCGCGCAGAACGTCTTGTATAAACAGCGCCCTATATACATTTACGATATTTTTTCTCTCTGCCCAAACGGGAGCCTCAGTGAATCGCTGCTTCGCTCCGGCCAGGTCGCTGGGATTCTTGTCGGGATGATGTCTCAAGGCCTCAGAAGGTGCTTGGGGCATGCTCTGTGTGTCAGGCGCTTGGGGCGTGCAGTGTGGGTCGTGTTTCGGTCGGAACCTCGACCTGCCTCAGAAGAAGTCTAGAGCTAAGGGGCTAAGGGAGAACAAACGGCCGATCAGTTCTCACAGCGAGGCTCTTGGGCCCTAGCCAGCTTGCGGTAGGACTTTCGCACGTCATCCAAGCTGGCATCCTGGACGAAATGTTGCGAAGGCATAACGTCCTGGGGAAAACATCCCAAGGCCATAAGAAACCGAAGGCCTCAAGCCCCAGAGCAAAAACTCGGAGCCCCCGTTTGTATCCTCTTCTTCTGACAAGATGCCCAGGTCGGATCTCTGAAAAGATGCAATCGCAGGAAAAGCTAGTTGCATGGCCCAGGATCGCTTAAAGGCAAACGGATGCCAAACCATCCCAAAGAAAGGCTTCATGATCCGAAACTTCCTTCACCCTGTCGTTATGCAACGAGGATACGCCAGCATAACACTGAGATTGCAAGGCCTACCATGATGTTACAAGCCTCACAGGCAAACATCCGATAAGCATCGTCGAAGCGCAGCGCATGCACGCACCACGCATGGCTGACAGCTCTGCAAGGCACACAAACATTGAGCGTTTCGTAGTGCCCAAAGCTGCCAAGAATCTGCACCAAGCTCCAAAGTCCGATAGGGTCCACCTCAGAGTGCAAAGTTTGCTCGATTTGCACAAGATACCCAGTCAAAGAACATGTGCCACATCCCCTGAGCCATCCAGTTCGCTTGTACCACTGTGCCAGGTGTCGCACGCAAACGTGCCAAAAGACGCGCTGGCTCCTGGGTCTGGGCTGATTCATGATTCCGGATGTGTAGGGATGCATACAGTACGGAGACGAGCATAGAACGCCATTTGGGCTAGGATGCAGTACGTGAACACAGCCTTGTATGTGTACATATAGTAGTAGTAGGAGTAGTAGTAGTAGTAGTAGTAGTAGTAGTAGTAGAAGTAGTAGTAGTAGTAGTAGTAGTAGTAGTAGTAGCAGTAGTAGTAGCAGTAGTAGTATAGTAGTAGTCGTAGTAGTAGTAGTAGTAGTAGCAGTAGTAGTACTAGTAGTAGTAGTAGTAGTAGTAGTAGTAGTAGTAGTAGTAGTAGTAGTAGTAGTAGTAGTAGTAGTAGTAATAGGAGCAGGAGCAGTAGCAGTAGCAGTAGCAGTAGTAGTAGTAGTAGTAGTAGTAGTAGTAGTAGTAGTAGTAGTAGTAGTAGTAGTAGTAGTAGTAGTAGTAGTAGTAGTAGTAGTAGTAGTAGTAGTGCTTGCTTGCTTGCTTGCGCACTCCTCAGGGCAACCGTCCTCGTCAAGCGGGTCTCTGGTACCTATATAAATGTGTACAACCTTGCGGGAAACACAGCAGCACCAGATCAAAATTTGTGTTCGAAGGTGGCTGCAGGGAGAAGCAGGGACTGTTGCCTGCATCACTGACATCGCTGCACTCTGCGCCAAAAGCGCGGTAGAGCTGTACGAGCGGGCAAGCAAGCGGCAAGCTACCAGCACAGCCGAGCGTAGCTGCCAATGCGAACCCCGTACACACTGCAAGTAGACTACTTGTATGCATAACCTCTCACTCGACATGTTCATTCTTCACTCCAAGCTCTTGCATGAGATCCATGGCTTTGCGCTCCATAGATCCGCGTGGCGCCTGCCCGAAGAGCTGGATGCCTCCATCAGCAACGAGCGCGCTAACAAGAGCCTTCTCCATGTCTTTGTGCTCATCGCTGAGTCGCAAGAAGAGCTTCTAGTGCTGGAGACGTGCATATTCTGGACACGGCAAACCTTCACTGCACCAGCGAGCTGCGAAGCCTTGGGCGGGTGGCTTGCAAGGAAGTGCTCGATGATCTCCTGGTCGGCTGCCCCGAGATTGGCCTTCAAGCAAAGGAGCAAAGCAACCAGGGCGTACTCATCTGGTTGTCCTTCTTGGTGGCCAGAGTGGCCACGTGTGCGGTCGGCATGAAGCTGGCGAGCTTGTTCACAAGCTTTGATCGCTCCATGATTCGCCTCAAACTTGATGGTGGAGTAAGCCATGCTACAGAGCAATCGCAAGTCTGCCGCATTCTTGAGGCTCAAGCGTGTAATGATCAGGAGTAGCTCTCACTCAAGGTCCGACTTGTTGCTCGCTACGGCCCTGGTCTTGGCTGGCTTCTCGCCTTCAAGCTGAGGCCGAAGGTGCGCTGCCCACTGGTCGGCCACGGCGCTGGAAGTAGTAGTCGATGCGCGGTCTCCGGAACGCAGTGGGCAGGCGCGATGCCAAGTGTGCTTGAGCCTTACCCAGCAGTCGGAGCGGAACATCACAGATTGCACACTTGCAAGGCAAGCTCGCGTGTACTTGATGCACTGTAGCGCTGCCTGCCGCCCGGCTACAGTACCCTCGTCTGGTGCTATCATGCAAATGGTTGCGCGCCACTCGCACAGAGGCCAAGGTAGCCCGGCATGCGCAGCACTGTTTACTGATGGTGAGCAGTGTTGCCAAAGAGCGCCTTTGTTCATGTTGTTTGCTGTGAGCCAGATGCACTGCGAGAGCACGGTAAGTGGGGAAGGTGGCATTGCACGGCTGGCCATCAGCGAGCAGCGCATCACATGCAAAAGTCTCATCGGCGGCATCCGCTCCTGGAGGCGCAGCAGACGGAAGCGACAAACCTGGAGGGGGGACCTGGACTCCCAAGTACCTCGTCCTGAGTTATGCCGGATCTTGTTGCAAGAAGGCTTCACGGAAGTCTGCATCAACGAACAGCACGAGCGGCCCGTCAGCAGCCGGACACATGAAACCACTGCTGTCCCATGTAGCCAGCTGTCGAATGTCTTCACCCAGCTGTCGCATCCAAGCATGTGACCAATCATGGATGGCACCGTGCTCGTCGAAAGGCGCCGGGGCGCCAGGGATGTGCCCGAAAAAAGGTGAAGAGCGCTCCTCGGGCCTAGCCACAATGCGCTGCCACCAACGCAGGCGTTGCACTGACAGTTCAACAGCTGTAGGTGCAGAACGCAGGAGGCGCCACACATGGTCGTTTGAGAGGGCCTTGTATTTGTCCACACTTTTCTCGCACGCTGTGACTTGTAAGACCTTTCTACCAAACTTGAGGAGCTCCTTGTCCAGGGTACGCACATCAGGTGCCTGCACAGGAAAAGCAACCAGTCCGCTGTAGGCAGCTCCCACAACCTCTCTGTGGCCCCTGTTGCGCCAGGACGTGAAGCCACTCAGATTTGTCAAAGAGAGGGGTTGCTGGCGCAGCCATCTGCCGTCGCTTTGGGCCGATGTTCTTCCCAGCCAAGATACGCGAGACCTTCCAGGCTGTTGCAAAGTCCTTCTTCCTCCACGCCTCGGCGACTTCGGCCACAAGTGCAGCTTGCCGAGCATGATATAGGCGTCGCTTAATGCGACGGACCACTTTAGTGGCCTCCTTACAGTTGCCAGCAGCGACGCTGACCTCCGGAGAAGCTTGAGGGTGGTCGCGGAGTCGTCGTAAAGCGAGCCTGCTCCTCTGTTGCAGCAGCGAGGTCAGTGTCCTGTTTGTTGTGCTTTGTATCCGCGGGGCTTTTTCTGAAAAAGCACAACGCTTGTTCCATGATGGGTTCATGTAGCGCTTGATGAACAGCATCCGGACCCTGTTTTGCAAGGGAATTCCAGTCGACCCCTTGCAACCGCGACTCCACAGCGTGCACAAAGTCAAGGAGCCCTTCTCCTCGCAGGCACCGGTACAGCTTATCGGCACCGGTACAGCTTATCATGATCCCAGACGATACCGTTCATCCTCTGCGGCACCGTAGCGGAGTCGGATGGTGACATTGAGGACGAGTGGTCTGTGATCGCGTCTGGCGTTGCAGTCCATAAGCTGCAACGCATCTCCAGCGCGGTCCCACACTTCACAAGACTGGATTTGGGGGCTCCGAGGGAGGAGGAGATAGTCCACCCTAGATGTGGATCTGCCATCATTAGAGTAGAAGGTAGGGCTACAACGAAAAAAAGTGTTGCCAAAACAAAGATGGTGGCGCT